CCAAACGAGCAAAGTAATAAGTAAAGAGAGATAATTACTTTTAGAACTTGTGAAGAACTAAGAGATTTGAGATGATCATGGTGGTGAGCGTGGTGGTCCTTCTCTTGATGTTGATGAGTCTTTTATAAGCTTTATGGTCGGTTAGGGCTTCTCCCAAAAAATTTAGGAGATAATCTTAAAAAAAGAAAAATTCACAATCTTCTCGAATGGGGCGATTGATCGGTCGAAAGCAGTGAGTTCGTGATCGGTCGATTGCGGGTGAATATCTTGGTTTACCTTTAACTTAATCCTAACTCAAACAGATTTCCTTAAATCAAAGATATCTCAAGATCTAACCGTCGGATTGAGGCGAACGAATATCTGATTTGAATCTAAGATCCTCCTCTATCTTGTGGTGAAATATGATCTTGATCCAACGGTGGAAAGACCTTCATCTGGAGCAAAATATCTGACGGTCCGGATTGGTGCTTCCTTGAAAAGGTTTGATTTTACTCTTTTTTGTCCAAAATGTTCCAAAAACCTGTATGGACTCCAAAACCCACGAAAATACTAAAGTAGCATGTTAAGTCCATAAAGTATTCATTTTTTTATTAAATATGTATTAAAAATATAGGAAAAACAGGTAAAATATCGTATATATCAATAATCTAGCTTGAGCTCTCTAGTAAGATCAAAAAGGGAGGATAAGGTTCTTGTGAGACCAGATCTCGATGCTTTTAGATATGGACTGTTCTTTTCAGCCTCTTCATAGCAAGAAGCGTTCTTAAATAGTTTCCCTAATATCTTCTCTGGATCTCGAATTAATTCATCGGTGGTGTCGGAAACTACTGGTTCACGGATTAGGGTTGATGAGTCGTTGGGATTTGAAGGTTTCAACGTTGTGAAACTTGATGAACAACTTGGGTTGGCACTAGATTGTGGACAAGAGATTTATTTCACTAGATTGTGGAAAATAAATTTATTTCAGCGAAATTACTTAGATTGAAGTTGTAATTTTGGAAGAGGTTTTTCCTAGATTGAAGAAGACGAAGTGAGAGGATTAAAGGAGAGAAATTTTGATTGGGGAAGATGAAATCAATCTTTATAATCTCAACCATACAATACTCACATATTTTAATTAAATAAACAGTCCAATTTTTATTTCTCTAACTAAATGCTATTAACTCGTATCTAACATGTCTCCCTCCATATCTCGTTCGGCAGGGCATTATTGTCCAAAAAAAACATTTCAAATCTTTAAAACTACTGAAAATGTACACCTTCCTTCTAAAATATGTATATCGGAAAAAAAAGTTCAAAAAGTACCTTAATGAATAAATAACCCTTATACGGTTAAACCCCAGACCGTTAAAATCGATCAGATCTTCACAGGGGTCGAAACTCAACATTTACATGTGTTTGTGATTTTTTTTTTTGAATTGACATGTGTTTGTGATTATTGATTAGGAGCATAAGGCAAAGTCAATGTGTTTTCCAGCATATATTTTACCAAATCTTTTTTCATACATATTTAAAATAATTTTCTAAAAGTTAGTATAATATAAAATCCATCTTCACGGATTACATGAGTTGGAAGACCATTCCACATTAATCGGCTGCTTCCAGCAAAGTTATTGGTCAATAATTTGCTGTCGGACAGGGTTTGAATATTCCGTGACAAAAGAAAACACACATAAGAAACTCGTGCCAAAATAATAAGATTGGTTAAATTTATAGGTAAATTATGTACTTCATAGTTTAT